TTGCAGCTAATAAGCCTTTGGCGTATCCTCCCGCGAACCCGGTCAACATGTGCAAACTTTCATCTGACATGAGAACAGAAAGGTGCCAGGAAAAATTGTCCTCACAACTAGACAGTCACCACCACAAAGCAATACTTCTCCGCTTCCACATCCTTCCTTCATCCCCTCTTATATCTTTTTTGCCCGGTTTAATTGGAAATCGTAGAGACCCGCTGACAATACGTCTCGTCCGGTCAAAAAGTGGAGGCCTTAATCTGTTCCCAATGCAGACGAATAAAATAGCTATCGCAAATAATGTCATCGGGAAAAATAGTTTGTCGAAAAAGGCTTTGATAACAAATAAAATTACAAAATAGAGTTAAATGCGGGCCTAAGGCAGTCTGAAACTAGTACAAAGTTGGTGGGTTTTAAAATGAAAGCGCATTGAAGCTGTTCGCATCGTGAGAGAGGGCGATCAGAGCAGAGTAAAGCTGAGAGGATGGATGGATAGGCTATGTATCCTGACGGATCAGTAATGCCTGGAAGTCATGCAATTTTAGTAAAGTTCTGTCCGTCTGCAAGTTGGCAGGGGATGCAGTGCGCAGTGCGAGGTCGCCAATTCAAAAGAGCATGGACGGAGTGGACGAAGAGGAAGAAGAGCGGGAAAAGGAAGAGGAGTACGAGAAAATGGCGGCCAAAGTGTGCTGTGTGTGCAGAGTGGCCATCGTCGAGAGCGAGACGCCGGGCAACAGCGAGCCGTTGCCGCCGCGACGCTACTGACCGGTGCCGGAAGACGCAAAGTCGGCGGATGGCAGCCGAGCCTTTGCCATCTCTACGGGTTCTAGCTTAAACGGCGCCCTCCAGTCTTAGGGGAGCCCCGGAGCCGGACACAAGGCCTGCATGGGCGGGACCGGCGTCCAGGCCTGGCTGGGACTGCACTTGGCTTCCACCGCACCGACTGTCTTTGAGACGGGATGCGCCAGCGTCTGTTATAGTCCGGTCATTGTCTGTGATGGGGCAGAGGACCTGGGCCCGAGCTGGAGCACAAGCTCGGGCTTGAGATCAAGTATGAGCTTGAGATCAAGCAGCAACATGGACAGCTTGGCTTTGGTCGGCATTGCGGCAGGATTGTCGAGGTGGCGTTTCACATGGTTAGGGCGGACATCGGA